CGAAGGAGCCTCCTTGCTTCCAAAGGAGTCTCATAACAGCTCCCTCAGAAGATGTGGGGAGTAATTTAAATAATGCTTGTAAATCATTTATCACAGTCTCCAATGCACAGGACAAAATCAATATGTTTGCTGATAGTAGTTTTGAAGCCACCGTTCCAGCTCATTGCCCTCGAATCTGCTCCAACTCATAGTCACCCTAAGTCGGGGTTCTGAGACTGAGAACCTGGGAGTAGAGAGCGCCCCTGAAAACTGCTCATTAGCAGTCCCCCACTTCACCCCCACACCCCACACACCCCACGCCAAGGTACTGAAACTAAATCCCCATCCTTCGGACGAATGTAGTCTTCCTTTCACGTTTTATATCGACAGTGCATCCCGTGTACCGGGCGCTGATCCCTAGTTTGTCTGAAAGAGGAACTTTTCTTTCTCACTGCAGCCTGGGGAGCCCTGGACGCCCCCAGTGCCTGGCTCACCATACATGTCATTTTCGTTTTCTTTCAGGACACCCATAAGAAGCTGAAGGACAGAGAGAGCCTCTCGACGATGCAGAGACTGGGGAGGGTGGGGATGGGCCCGAGACCTCGGTGACAGGCCCAGGGTGGGAGAGGTCAGGCCTAGGCAGGTGCATCTCCCCTCTGCCCAGAGCAAGGGGCTAGGAGCAGGACCCCACTGACTGGTCCAGCGGCGGCCAGTGAACCAGAAGTGAGAACCATGCTTGAAACAGCCACACAGGATACCTTTTTTTTTCTTACCTGGTGCAAAATGTACTATTTTGTATATTTTTAAAATGTGATTTTTTTTTGTATATATATATATATATATATACTTGTATATGTATGCCAATGTGGTGCTTTTTCTAAAAGATCTTTTGTATGCTAACTGCTGTCATTCTGTGACTGGTGTGGGTTAGAAGGAGGGGAAGACCCCGGATGGAGAGATCTGACCGCTTCCTCTCCATGCCGTTTGGGGAGGGGGGGTGCTGGGGGGAGGGGCTAGGTAGCAGCACTCACAGGCCTCGAGAGGGCTCATGTCCGCACTTCACTGCCCACCCCCGACAAGAAGGGGGTGACCACGTTTGTCATATGTTGTTTTAATAAATGCACAGCGCTCTCTTCTTATTACCAACAGAGCTGACAGTTCCTTTATCCTTTCCCCCAACCCTCTCCTTCCCTCCTCCCTTTCCCTCCTCCCCTTGGTGGCACCAGGCTTAAGCCTGCCTGTTCACAGTATGGCCCCACACTGTGGGGAAGAGATACGGCAGTCTGATGAGGCTGTCTGTTTCCTCGGAAACCCTATGGGGCAGTTCTGTTCTGTCCACTAGGGTTGCCATGGGCTGGGGACCCAGCCCACAGCAGTGGGTCGGATTTTTGGAGAGGAGGGTTCAGGATGGATGGTTGGCTAGGCTTATCGCTTGGGGAGCTCTAACTGTAGATACTGGCCAGCAAAACACACATCGAGCCATCATTGTCTGCACGGACAATTCTGTGACATGGGTGACATTGTGCCAGTGGTGCCACCTTGTTCCAGATCTTTTTCTGAATCAACACCAACTCAATGCCAACTCATCTAACCTTTCAAACAGCTGTTTCCAGTCTGATCTCGTACAGCGAATTCTTAAAATGACAGTGTTCAAGTGGGACCTTACCCCCTCGTATGCTCAACTGTTTGGTATGAAGTTGATTTCAGGGGATCCTTTCTGGTTAGAGATTTCCTCAGGCAGGGGTGGAGGTGGGGTGGGGTGGTATTCCGTCTCAAAGGCTCCGGAGAGTCTAGGCTCCAGAGAGTCTAGATTTTATGAGAATTTGAGGTTCTAGCCCACGTTATCCCCCACTGTGATCAAGATTAATCTCTAAGATTCTTTTATCAAATCATTCAGTAATCGTAGCCAGGCACCATCCAGTTCTGGTCTTCCGACACAGGCCTCTGCTGTTCAGGGTGGCCACCTCCAAGAGTTCTTCAGGAGCAGCTTTTCCTCGTGCGAGCGCCATGGGAAACTGGCCCAAGGATGATTCCCCCAAAACCAGGCGCAGCAGCTCTGGCCCTGGTTCTTCAGGAAACAGAGCCCGAGGAAAACAGGAAAGGCGAGAGCCTCCACAGAAGGGATCATCCTAAGGCAGCCAGAGTGAAGGGACTGGGAAGCCAGGCGGAGAAGGAGGGTGAGAAAAGGATGCAAAGCCGAGAAGGAGGGAAGCAAACACGGCGTCCCATCACTGTGCTGCCCGTTTCACCAGGACGAGGCTGCGTGCTCAGTCCTGTGAGCTGCTTCCAGCAGGTCATCAAGACCTGCCAAGACTCCTGAAAGTTCCTCAGAAGGGACAAGGGAGAGACATGGGTCTGCTGACTCCTTCGCACCTCCTAGCTCACGTGGTTGAAGCGTGGCCCCTCCAGGGAGCTGCCGGGAAAGAGATCGCATGCCAGCCTGGACGTGGTCCAGGTGAGCCTGGACGAGGTGGAAAGAGGGTCAGGCTTTGGATGCTGGAGGTGCAGCCCCCACTGAGGTGGGCCTTGTGGAACGGCGCGGGCACCCACACTCGCAGCAAAGAGGGCAAGCCAGCCACCAGCCCGAGGGCTTGACGGGGGATGAAACTGCAGCAGCACGCAGGCTTTCACAAGCAAACGGCCAGTACCGGCTGAGAGGTGCATCAATGGGGTCTGTTCTAAGAGAGTAGAAAGTCTCACTGCCATGGCGTCGATGCGAACTCCTAGTGATCCTATTGGAAAGGTAGAAAACTGCCCTGTGGGTTTCCAAGACTGAAACGCCTGACGGGAGTTTTTCCCATGGAGCGGCTGGGGTTTCGAACTGTTGGCTGACCTGGTGGATCTCAGCCCAATGTGCAACCACTGGGCCACCAGGTGTCCCAGAGAGCAGACTCCCCACCGCCTCCAGCTGCTTCTGGCTCAGCCACCCTGCACGCTACAGAATCACAACTGCCGCGGTGGGTTCCTGAGACTGCAGCTGACTGAGAGTGGAAAGCCTTGTCTTTCGACTGAGAACGGTGAAAAAGAAAACAGACCTCCCCCCATTCAAATAATTTATAGAGACATATTTATTAAGTCTTAAACAGGACAACCAAACTCCCTGCCACCAAGTCACCAAGTCAAATCTGACTCATAATGGCCTTATAGGACAAAGTAGAACGGCCCCTTTGGGTTTCTGAAACTGTAAATCTTTTTTGGTGGGGAGGGATCTCTTAAAATAATTTTTTATTGATCATTTTATTGGGGGGCTCTTACAGATTTTTTAACAATCCATCATTCAATTGTATTAAGCACGCTGGTACATATGTTGCCAACAACATTTCCCAGACATTTTCTTTCTACTTGAGCCCTTGGTATCAGGACCCCTTTCCTCCCTCCCACTATCATGCTCATCCTCCATTCAGCGCTCAGTTATTCCTCTCGGATACATTGCACTTGATCAACCCCCACCAGGCATTATACCCCCTCCTCGACATCAAATTTTAGATCTCTTGTTGTTCCCTTATCCCTGAGTTTGTTGGCTCCCCACTGCCCCTCCCCGCCCCCTCCTCTCCCATGTCTCCCGGGACCACTGGTCCCATTATTTTCTCCTGGGGATTGTCCCTCCTGCCTATCTTATATAGATAGACATAGGTAGAAAGAGATAGATAGTTCTAGGTCTGTCTGCTGACCCTTATGAATGTTTTCCACTTGGGTCAGGTGGGGTGCCATGTCCTGTCCCCCGAGTCAGAAGTCTATTTTCAGGATTCCACAGGGACTTGGTTACTTTGCTCCCCTTGCTGCCCTGTTGCACTCCCTTCCTGTTTCACCCCACTGTGTGGGGGGCAGACCGGGCACACTTTTTGCACAGTGTCTCCAGTGCTGTCCCCCGTAGCGCTATGGGGTCAGTGAGGGAATACGTGTCTCATGGTGGGGCTGGTCCTACAGTCCTCTCTGTGCATTGCCTGCTCTGAGCAGGAATGTTGCCCCCGGGGTTTGGTGGGCCATAAACAGGTCCCCTCTCTCTCTTTCTCTCTTTCCCTCTTAGTTTGCACCCTTGTGGTCTTGTGGTCTGGACAGACCGGCTACTCTCCCCAGGCTATATATTTGCTGTCCTCTATATTACATTCTTCTGCGGAGGAGGTTGAAACTGTACATCTTTCCAGGAACACACAGCCTCATCTTTCTCCTTCGGAGCACCTGATGGTTTAGAACCGCCGACCTACGGTGATCAGCCCACTATGCCACTAGATCTCCAAACAGGACAAAAACAAAGACATTGCCTCCAAATGAGGTAGGCCATCAGCACGAGGCCTTACTGGTGCGCAAGCTTTCAGAGAACTGGGCCGGCCAACTTACACAGGATGTAGAAAACAAGGAAATCATGATCCAAGGCCCATCACTTCACCACAGGTGCAGGCAATATGACAGAATTGGGAAAGGGACCATGATTGGGAGACTTGCAGATTAGAAAAGTGTGTGAGATTGGTAGGGTGGGGCTCTGAGCAAGGTAATCAGGGTATGACTCAGGACTATACAACCTGAGTACCCCAATTTCCATCAAAGGCACATTCAGGCAGGGCACCCCCACCCCCACCCCCAACTAGCGCACAGGTGAGACTACCTCTCCTGGGCTAGCTAGGGGAGTGGCAGCAATTCACTTTCAAACCCACTCTGCCCAGGGCAAAGCTGGCCCGTGGTCTGAAAGAACTCCATGCAGGCTGGCTCCAGGAGACTCGAGAATGGATTTAGGACATGTACGCCCACCCACCACCAACACCCTACCTTATCCATTATGAAATACTCCTTTAAAAAGATAGATTTAGGGCTCCCCTTGCCCACAGCAGTCTTCCAAAAGCCTAGTGCTCAGAATTTAAGCTCTCATACAGGCTCCACATAGCATGGTCTTCGAAATGTGAGGCCTGCAGTCTGCCCCGCTGTAGTTATTCAGAGCACAGGAGCCAATCAGGGGCTCTGACAAGTCCTGCCCCAAAACAAAAACAAACAAAAAAACCCTCACTGCCATTGAGTCAATACCGGCTCACAGTGACCCTATAGGACAGCAGTTCTCAACCTGTAGGTTGAGACCCCTTTGGGGGTCGAACAACCCTTTCACAGGGATCACCTAAGAGCATATTTCCGATGGTCTTAGGAACCAAGACCCCGCTCCTCTATCCGCCTCCAGGCGGGTCCACCCACATGCAGGTACGCCCACATACGGGTCACCACAACCTGAGGAACTGTATTAAAGGGTTGTGGCATTAGGAAGGTTGAGAACCACTGCTATAGGACAAGGTGGAACTGCCCCTGTGGGGTTCTGCGATTGTAACTCTTTATGGGAGTAGAAAGCCCCATCTTCCTTCCACTGAGCTGGTTTCGAACTGCCAACCTTGAGGTTTGAAGCCCAACGCTTAGTCACTGTACCACTGGGGCTCCTCAACAAGCCCTGCCCTTAAAAAAAATGATTTGACCCTTGTTCTTTGTTGCTGTCTACTTGGTTCTGACTCAAGCAGCCTCACAGCAAGAAAGGTTGCCTGTTCTTCAGTCATGTTCATAAGCACAGTTCTGTTGACCCATTGTTGGGGCTGTGGGCTAAGCATGCAAATGTTGTTGACCTTATGGATATTCAAAACCAACTGTCCAGTGCCTTACACCCACACATCCGCAGCATAACTAGTTGTACAGTCTAAGAGGCTGTTATCATAATGGATGATGAAAAGGTCCTAAGTTTGACCGGGTGATGGATAACTCTCTTTAATATACTTAAAACACTGAATTGTATGATATATGAATCATATGTCAATAAAACTCTTAGGATTTTTACAATAAAATGTCTACTCTAAGGGGGTGGAGGGGAAGCTATTGTAAAAGTAACTCATGTTTCTACCACTGGAGAGAGACAACCTTGCTGTCCCCCAGAGGCTCCCTTTGGCCCCGCCCATCACAACCCTTTTCGCCGCCCCAGTGAAGCAGCTTTGCTACCTCCAAATCCCCATAGTGGGCACCTTTGACAGCAGCAATCCGTTTTCTCATGGAAGCTAGAAGTTCAGGGTGCGGTCCCTGCGGTTCTACGCCCTCAAGCTGATTCCAATTCATAGCGCCTCTACGAGAGAGAGGGTTTCGAAGGCTGTAACCTTTACAGAAACAGACTGCCACAGAGCCACTGGTGAATTCCAACTGCTTGGCAGAGCCCTTAACTAACATGCAGCGCTGACTCCTTGTGCTGCTCCCAGGGAAATAGGTGTCTCTCTGGGGTCTCAGGAAGAAGATCTTCTGAACTTCTGCTCCTGCCCAAGCTTCATGTGGCTTATTCTAAGTCTTCCTCACCTCTGCTTACATAGCTCAAAAGAGAGAGACTCAAGACAGATCTTACACTAATCTCACCTGACTGATACATGTAACAAAGACAAGCCATTCCTAGATGGCATTATAACTGCAGGTTTAACCAAATCCACTGCCATTGAGTTGCTTCCGATTCATAGCAGCCCTATAAGAGAGCGTAGAACTGCCCCCTTTGGGTTTCTGAGACTGTACATCTCAGAAAAGTCTCATCTTTCTTCTCGGGGAGGGCTAATGGGTTCAAACCGTTGACCTTGCGGTTAGCAGCCTAACATGGAACCCACTATGCTGCCAGGGCTCCTTCACTACAGAGGTTCAGATTTTTTGAGAACACAATTCAACCACTAACAGCCACTGCCTTGTCTTTTGATAATCACATACTTGTTTTTCTTTAGTTCTAGCTCCTAAGGCCTCCTCCCCTCGAACAAGGAAAGAACTCGAGTACAGAAAGGCAGAAATGACAAGTCAAGAATCAGTGCACATCCTGTCTCCACTTGACTCCCCCAGGTTACTGATTACATTGGAAACAAGCACGCCAGTCAGATAGTTTATCACGTATCTTGGGGAGGGAGGGGACAGTCAGGGCTCTGTGAGCAGCTAAACCTTAAATTCCAGAAAGATACGTGATTGTAAATAAGGGATTTCTAGGACAGTAAGTCAAAAAGTATAGTTACAAAATCACAGAAACCTTTACTAATGAAATATCCATCCAGTTGGTGCTTAGAGATGAATTCAAATATAATGGAAGAAGTACAAAATACATTCCTGCCCTCCAAGAGCTTATAATCTAGTAGGGATGAATACATATCTGAGACCTCCTTGCTTAACATTTGCTGTGCAGCCAATCTTACAGATGCTCAGCTTCCTGGATCCATTGCAGTTCAATTCTGAGCACTAGGTGTGCAGAAGGCCTTGGTTTACCGCGGGAGCACTGAATCCTTTCTGGAACCTCCACATTGATCCAGCCTCCGTGGAGTTCTTTCTGGCTGTTGCCCTGCAGTGGAGAGCGCTGTGCCCTCAGGCAGAATGGGTTTGTTTGTGGATTGCCACCACTCCCCTAGCCAGCCCAGGGAGGAGCATTTGCCTTTGGGCACTTGCCTTGGGTTGTCCTTAATGGAAATTAGGGCAGTAGGGTGGCATAGGCCTGAATTAGATAATGCCTTGATGAGAGCCCAGAACCAATCCTGTACCTTTCTCTCATCTGCAATAGACTATTCTGCACCTGCACTGAACGGCTTTGCTCCAGCCATGGTTTTGTGACCGGTGCCTTTGTTCTCCGGGCCCCATTGAACCCAGTGGCTGGATTTCTGTGAGTCCTTGGATACCTTCGAAGCCCTGGTGGCACAGAGGTTTGTGTTGGGCGGCTGCTAACCCAAACCACCAGCATCTCCGAAGGAGAACGGCCGGCTCTCTCTTCCCACAGTCTGGGAAACGCACAGGGCAGTTCTACCCTGCCCCACAGGGTTGCTGTGAGTCAAAATCAACCCCATGGCAGTGAATTTGCTTTGGGCTTGTTAAAGACCTAATGAACAAGCCTCTCTAACTGACACTTGAATTTGGGCTCTCTTCTCCTCAAGCTCATAGGCTATGCCCCCAGAGACTGATTCAGTTTAGCCTCACTTACCTTCTCCAGGTATTTCTGAGCCTACTCGTTCTTAGGTTGTAACTTAGGAAAACCAGGACTTTGAGGGTAAAGGTTTTACATAACCAGCGTCCCCAGGAGGTGGTAAAGAAGACACTCAATAGGGACCTAACCAGGGCACGTGTGAGCTACAGCCTCCCTCCTCATACCTTGTCTCCTACCAAGATGATGCCTGTCGGGGCAGGACCGGCTGAAGGACACGCCCCGCAGCCCGTGTGGGAATGACGCTTGCCATCCACTCTTCCCTCTGTGAAAGGCCATAGCCACCGAGCCTTAGCCCTGGAAACGAGAGCATTTCCGGTGAGGGAGCACCCGCTTATTTTTCTACGCTGTCAGCATGTTTCAGAGGCCAGTGTCCACCCGCAGTGTCCACCCTCGGGCACCTCCACTGAAGAGCGGGGTCTCCAGTGGGTGCGGCCCCAGCCGGCTGCGCGACGCCGGCTCGCTTTTCCCCGGAGTTGGGCACGTCTGCCAGGACCTCCTGGAGCGGCTGTGCCACTTCCTGCGGCTTCGGGGCGCTGTGCCCAGGAAGGGCAAACGGTGGCGGCGGCGGGGTGATGAGAACCCGCGCAGCTGGCGGCTGCAGAAGGAGCGCTGCTCGGCCGAAGCGGACGTGGAGAAAAGCCAGCGCTGAGCGCGGCGCGCCCGAGGAGAGGGGAGCGAGGATGGGTGGGCCAGTCCCCACCAGGGCAGCCCGAGGGCAGCGGCACGCCCCGACCCAGGGGTCCCTTAGTCTCTGCAGCCGCTGCCAAGTGGGGAAGCCCCATCAAGTGCAGAGCCGCCTCCAGCCTGAGGTGGGCGCCCACCCACCCAGGCCACGGGAGTCTCACGGAGCCGGGGTGGGGGGAGCGCAATCCGAGCCTCTGGGGCTCCGGTTCCGAGGCCAGGGGCAACATTCCCGGCCCAGGGAGCCCAACACGGATCCTGCAAAGCCAAGGCCGACAGCTTTTCCGTGGGCTCGGCCCTTGCACAGCCCGAAGCCAGCACCCCGCGGCGGCAGGCAGGGCTGGGGCGGCGCGGAGGCAGGGGATGGCGGCTGGGGGGAGCGCCCTTCGCCGCCGGCTGTCCCTCCCCTCCCCCTCCCGCGGCCTTTTGCACACGACGCGCCGCGGGCCGCTTCACACGGGGCAGCGGGGCCGGATAAAGCGGGCCGGGCGCGGGGCGCAGAGCGAGAGCGCGGCTCGGCAGCGGGGGCGGCGGAGGCGCGCGGCGGGGGACTCACACGCGAGGCCCTCGGTGCGGGCAGGTGGGCGCACGCGCCGTTGAGCGTCCGTCGTGCCACTTCGAGGTGCGCCCGGCGGTGCGGGCGGCGGGCGGGCGGCTGGTGGGTCCCGCCGAGGCTGCATGCGGGCCTCGGAGAAGCGGCGTCTGCTGGACAACCCGCGCAGAGCCCGGTAGGACGGGGCCCCGGGGCGCAGAGGGAGTGTGCGCGCGCGGCTTCGGACGCACCTCCTCGTTAGCCATCGGGCCAGGGCACGGTTTGGCGGCGTCCTGCACCAGGACCGCGTGGGCAGGGTGGGCTGCGATGCGGGGAAAGGGGACGGAGGGCAGGGGCCCCTTCCCTGGGGCCGAGTGCAGAACCTGAGCCCAGCCCGCCTGGGGAGGGGGAGTCGGCTGTCCGGAGCCCTGCCTCTGAACCAGCACTTTGCCCTGTGGCCGCTCCACCCTAGGGAGGCCCTGTACCCACAAGTGCGCGGTGGGGGGAGGGGACAGGGAGGGTCTGCTCTTTTCCCCAAGTCTGAGCTCTGTTCCTTCTACACGCTCCACTGAAGCAGCCCCGCCCCTTGGCCAGTCCTTAAGCCCTCCCCGCCTCGGGCCCTGGCCTCAGGACAGGTCTTTCTCCCAGCCCCTCTTCTCCCTCACGCAGGAGGAACTCCGAGGCCCGTGTGCCATCCTCTCCCTGCGCCCAGTGACCCCACAGCACATTGGGCAGGAGGCAGTCCTCCTTGCCCCATCCCTGAACTGAGTCTCCCCTCCGCCTCTACAGGTCATACATGGGATCTATATGGCAGGAAGGGTCGGGCTGGGTCCCTCTCCCAGGACCTAGCCTTAACCTACAGACCATTGAGCTTGCGGCCGAGAACAACCATTACTGCCATGCCCAGAGGGATCCTGGTAGCCACCGTGACCCCAAAAAGGATCGGGCCCGGCGCCAACTGTATGTGGCCTCTGCCATTTGCCTGTTGTTCATGATCGGGGAAGTCATTGGTAAGAACCTCTCTGCTCACTACCTAAAGCTGCGGCCGGATGACCCCCAAACTTAGGGATTTTACCTGTAATGAGTCTTAACTGCTCCATTGATTACAAAGGGCTAGGCCTTTGATGTAGGCATTTCCCTGTGCTGTCTTCCTCCTCTGCTGTCCTATGGGTGCTGTGTGCCTTTTTGTGAGAGAAGAGGAAACTGAGGCACGTTGCGGTTAAGCTACCTGTCTGCCAGGCCATCCAGCTAGTCACTTTCTCCTGAGAGAGGCCCTGGTGAATTTGACCTGGAGCCCCACAAGCTTACCCAGCAGCCACCTAGGCTCTTTTCAAAGCCCACTCTACATATCCCTCAGATATGCTAAATGCTATTGCGTTTCCAAAAGATCCTTGAAGTAGGTTTGCCCAACCATAGCCCTAGGGTCTTGGTTGAGGGAAGGAGACACGTGGTGATGGCCTAAATTCCCTCTGTCCTTTGCAGGAGCACTAGCTAACCTGTGGCCCCCCTCCCCCACTTTCCTGTTATATCAGGGGATTGGTTGTGATCACTGCCTCTCCCCCCTGTCCTCACGTGTGTCCCACTCACCTTGGTAGTGCAGGCTCCGAAGTATGGACTCCTCACATCTGGGCTTCTCTCAGTGCTAGAGATGGAGGAAGGGCCCTGATTGCAGGCTGCAGCCTTCCGCAGGCCAAACACCTTTAGGTTTCAGGCACAAATGCCTCTTCGGACTGCTTGCGGTTAGCAGCCCAACCTTTTCACCCTTTGGTGAGCCCCGGTGGGGCAGTGGGCTACACTGAGCAGCTAAGCACAAGGTCAGTGGTTTGCACCCACGAGTTGCTCCAAGGGAGAAAAACGAGGCTGTCTGTACCCCTAAGAAGTGCAAAGTCTCAGAAGCCCAAAGGGGCAGTTCTCTCCTATAGAGTTGTTAGGAGTCAGAATCAACTTGATGGCAGTGGGTAAGTAGGTCTATCCCCGTTTCCTGAATGGGCCAGTGCAAGGTCAGAGTTAAGGCACATGCCCAAGGTGGCGCAGCTAACGGGGCAGAGGACTTGAATTCATTGTGCCTGCCTCCCGAGTCTGTGGTTTCTCTGTTGCACACACAGTTTGGAGGGGGTGGTCCTGGCCCCCTGAGGAGCTGATGAGGACCCTCTGCCCTCATTGTTCTCCCCCTGTAGGTGGGTACCTGGCACACAGCCTGGCAATCATGACCGATGCAGCCCACCTGCTCACGGACTTTGCCAGCATGCTCATCAGCCTCTTCTCCCTCTGGATGTCCTCCCGGCCAGCCACCAAGACCATGAACTTCGGCTGGCAGCGAGCTGGTGAGGGCCCTGTTCAGGCTGGAAATGGGCTTGGGGGCAGGGGCAGGTCAGAGCCTGGCTTTTCAGTTGGCTGCAATAGGTGGAGGCCCAAATGAGGCCACTGTGGGGGCGGGGAGGTGACCTGAGTTGGGGAAGAGGATATCAACCCGGATGTCCACCCTTGGGATGCCCAGCCTGTGAAAGAAGGGAGGTCACCTTCCTAAGGATGCAGAGCTCATCCTGATGCAATAAATGAATTTGGCCTCAAGCCTGCCCCGAAAGCCCATCCAGAACAACCTTCTGGAAGATAAAGGTTTTAAACCAGTAGTTCTCAACCTGTGGGTCGCGACCCCTTTGGGGGTCAAAGGACCCTTTTACAGGAGTCACCCGATTCATCACAGTAGCAAAGTTACAGTTATGAAGCAGCCACGGAAATAATGTTATGGTTGGGGGATCACCCCAACATGAAGAACTGCATTAAAGGGTTGGGGCACTAGGAAGGTCGAGAACCACTGCTTGAAACCCTAGTGAATGAGACTCGGTGCTGGGTCCTCATTTCCACCGTCACAGCCTCTCAAACCTGCTCCAGCTGAACAATGGGTACATCGTTTAACAAGTCCTTCGGTTTTTATTCTTAAAAAAGCATGGCAAACAAAAGAGGGTGACTCATGACTTCTGAAGTTTGACGGCCTCCCATATGTGAGCGCACTGTCAGCCATGCCCTCCGCAGAGCCCGGTGGCATGCAGGCTCTGGCTTGGCAGTCCGGAGCCTAGTGATCATGGAGGTTAGGGGTGGGGCGTTGAGGACTTTTCTCAGCTCTGGCACCACCTGCTGAACTTGCCACTGGGGGGTCTGGGTGTTCCTCAGAGATCCTGGGAGCTCTGCTGTCTGTACTGTCCATCTGGGTCGTGACGGGGGTGCTGGTGTACCTGGCGGTGGAGCGACTAATCTCTGGGGACTATGAGATCAAGGGAGGAGTCATGCTGATCACCTCAGGCTGTGCTGTGGCCGTGAACATCATGTGAGTGTGTCCTCTTGCCCACAAGGCCCCCCATTCATCCCCCTCACCCACTCTTGGTGGAGGGAGGTCATCACCACGCTGCGGAGACCACAGGGACAGAACTTCCCCAGTGTGCTGAGCTCTGGCGCCTGAACACTTGTGTCCTATTTGAGGTCAGGTGATGCATAGCGACCCCCTGTGACTTTCCAATACTGTAATGCTTAACGGGAGCAGAAGCCCAGTCTACCTTCCTCTGAGAACTACCGACCATGGGGAATCGCAGCTCGACGCATACCCACGACACCACCACGGCTCTTCTGGCCAAGGCCATCTGCAGCTGCGGGTCTGGGCCCTCATCAGCTTCCCCTGTTGCCTCTTCCCACCCTGTCCCATAAGCATCCGTGACCTTGGAGGCCCCATACCTGCAATAGGGAGGGAAGAGTCTGGCTCCTGCAGGACCAGGTGTCTGGGCTCAGAACTGAACCCACTTCTTTTTAAGCAGACGTTCCTGAGACTGGCTTCTGTGAGTAGCAGAGGGGTGGAGAGCACTGGGGTCTCATAGAGGTGCTTTCTCCCTTGCTCAGTGGCTGTGGACAAGCCACTCCCCTCTCTCAGCCTCAGTCTCCCCATCTGTGACATGGTGTGTGTGTCGGGGGTGGGGTGGGGGTGGTGAACTAGACAAGCATCATTGCTCAGAGATTCAGACTGGGCCACCAGTGTGCTCAGAATCAGCCTGGCCCTGGGGCTACGCCCTTTGCTTTGTGGCCTTTTGAGTCAGGCCTTGTGGGCTGGGCCTCTCACCCAGCCAGGCCAGAGGGGTCACACAGGGGGTAGGGGAGGGGGCGGGGGAGGTGGGTCTTGCGTCCCATTTCAGGAAGGCCAGCCATGATGGTAGTCTTTACCTGCTAACTCAGGAAGCCAGCTCAGCAAAGTCTCTGTTTCTGTAGAATGGGGCTGACCCTCCACCAGTCTGGCCACGGGCACAGCCACGGTCCCGGCCACGGACACAGCCACGGTCCCGGCCACGGACACAGCCATGGTCCCGGCCACGGACGCAGCCACGATACCAGTGAGGAGCAGAACCCCAGTGTCCGAGCTGCCTTTATCCATGTGATTGGGGACCTTCTACAGAGTGTGGGCGTCCTGGTGGCAGCCTATATTGTATACTTTAAGGTCAGAGCTGGGGCAGAGGGCAGTGGTCCAGGGGATAGGAGAGCAGAGATCATGGGGGGGGGGGGCTCCTCTCCACACAAGACCCTCATCCATGCTAGCCCACTCCCAACTCTGGGCGCAGGATTGGGAGAGAGAAGGGACTCTTAGCACTTATCCTGCACCGACCAACTGTTGGCACTCAGGCGCTTCTCCATAACCCTAAAGGGTGGTGGTGGCATTTGCTGCCCCTCAGACGCTCAGTGCCTTGCTCAGTGTCACACAGCTGGTAGGTGTGTGAGTCAGACTCAAATCCAGGACTGTGGTGCCCAAACAATGGGCATTCCACATCCTGTTGATACAGAGGATGGAGTCAGGTCTGGGTTTGAAGCCTGGCTCCACCCCTTAGTCGCCACCAGACATGGAGGGACCCATTTCCTCTCCTTGTGCCTCAGCTTCCCCATCTATAATGGGGGTGGGGAGGGGAGGCAATGAACTGAGTTCCTTCCAGTTCTGTCCAGGCCTCAGCCCCCCATGGGCATGGGGAGTGGGAAGGGTGTGTGGTCCCCCTGCCTGGGGCCCCGCCAGCAGAGGAAGTCCCCTTTGTTGCCATAGTGCTGGGTGTGAGGGTGGAGGGGAGCTGGGAGGTTTGGGGCTGGGAGGTTTGGGACTGGCCCCAACTGCGTCTCCCCTGTTTCTGTAGCCCGAGTACAAGTACGTGGATCCGATCTGCACCTTCATCTTCTCCATCCTGGTCCTGGGCACGACCTTGACCATTCTGAGAGATGTCCTTGTGGTGCTCATGGAAGGTAACCTGCCTGGGGCGCCCTGGCTGCCCTTGGCAGTCTCCCTCAGTGGAGTGCGTAGGTGGGGGTGGGACACAGGCTCTGGCACTGTGGTGGCCTGGCGTAGGCTGGCAAACCTTCTGGGGCCCCGAGCCATGCTGGCATCAAGCTGGGCCCTCGTATGTGGTAGTTCTTAGAAATGTCCCCTAGCCTGTGCCCTCCCTTTCCGGCCATTAGCCCTGAGAGGGCCACCTCCCCAGGTGTCATGCATCCTCCTGCCCAGTCAGGGTGGCCTCTGGGTGATGTCTGTGACACCTGAGAATCAGCTTTCCCAGTACCCCTCAACTCCCTGGGTCTTCCTGCAGCTGAGGTGGGGCAGACTGAGGCTCAAAAGGACCCCTAAGTCTCAGGCAAGGCTACTGAATCCACTCCCAGCTCTGGCTTTGCCCTGGACATCTCAGGGCCAGAGTGGTCTTGTTCCTGCCTTGGGAGGGCACGGCTGACTTTGAGGGGTTACTCAGTCATGGAGAGGCAAGGTGCAGGGTCTACAGTCTTGGCTTAGGGCCATGGGCCTCAGTCTGGGACTGGGGCTTGGTCTGAGGTCAGCAGAAGCGTCTAGCTGCAGGTTAGAGCCTTTTCTCCAAGACTCCATTTGACCCGGTGATGGTGAGGATGGTGCTGTTAAGATGCCCAGGGATTCCCAGACTTCCTTCTCGCCCTCCATTTACGGACAGCGTACTGAGCACCTACAGTGCGCCAGGTTCCCTTCTAGGCCCTGGGGACTACTCTGCCCTCGCGCAGTGCCGACCGTGAGAGGGGAGGCAGGCAGTAAGCACACAGACAAGTGGGGTCATTGCACATCTGTTGACGTGTGAGGAGGAAAAGGAAATGAAGGCGTGTGGGAGCTGAGGGGCGGGGTGGGGTGGCACATGCAGATCAGGGAGTTCCAGCGGAGTTGACAGTTAAGGAGCAGGAGCCAGCTGGGCACAGCTGGGATGAGTGGTCGGAGACAGACAAGCCTTTGCCCTTGCTCTCCTCAGGGACCCCCAAGGGCGTGGACTTCACGGCTGTTCGGGACCTGCTGCTGGCCGTGGAGGGGGTGGAAGCCTTACACAGCCTGCACATCTGGGCGCTGACCGTGTCCCAGCCGGTGCTGTCTGTCCACATTGCCATTGGTGAGTGACCGGGGACACCCGGGGCGGGGGGTGGGGCCCTCCGTTCTGAGGGAGCAGGGTAAGAGGATCTGGGGTCACCCCTGTGTGTCCTCCCGGCCCTCAGCTCGGAATGCCGATGCCCAGGCCGTGCTGAAGATGGCCAGCTCCCAGCTGCAGGGGAGGTTCCACTTCCACACGATGACCATCCAGATTGAGGACTACTCGGAGGACATGAAGGACTGTCAGGAGTGCCAGGGACCCTCCGATTGACTGCGGCCAGCCAGGACCCGTGCGTGGCAGGCCTAGTGTCCCCCAGACCCAGCCAGGCTCTGCTAGCCAGGCTGCTGTGTAAACTAGGCCCTGTCCTCATGTCTACTCCGCATCCCAGAGTGGGGCTCATCTTCTGCCTCCCCATCTGACTACAGCCAGCGGGGGATGGGGACTCAGGGGCACATGCAGCGGGACCCCCTTCATCCTGCCCCTAGCCGCAGGCAGGCCTGGCAGGGGGGTGAGGGGAGGGAGGCTGGCCTGCCTCTTCCCTGCCTTATGGATCTGACAAGAACTCCTGGTACAGAGCCCCCTCCTTCTGCCCATAACAATATGGTTGAGGGAGGCCTGGGACCCCACCCTCTCAGCAGGGAGCCAGGGCCTCCTCAGACCTGTCCTTACCTCAGTCACTTCAGGTTCCCTTCCTGGAGACACCAAGCAACTTCCTAGATAAGGCGCTGGCTGGCTGGCTTCCTTACAGCCCTTGACTCAGGAACAAGACACCCATACCCTTGCCAGAAGTGATTCCGGGGGAAGGGGAGAAGACATATTTCAGAGTGAGTCTCACAGGAACAGCCTTGTAGCTCCTGGGCTACTTCTCTTGTCCTGATGATGCCCCCAGGGATCGGGACATGGCTGGGCCAATACGGTCCTCAGGGTGGCTGACCTGATCAGAGCCCATGGATGGAGGATGGAGAGAGGCCGGGCACAGCCCAGTGGCCAACCGGAAAGGCTTCCTGGGTGCTGTGTGGTGATTCCTAAATTGCAGGATGGCTTGTGCCCTGGTGGCGCGCTGGGTTACGCATCCACTGGCTACTTGCAAGATAAGTGGTTCAAGCCCACTAGCCCCATCAAGATGTGCAAACTGGACCCCTCGAACACCAGTCTCCACAACCCTGAGACCAGAAGAACTAGATGGTGCCCAGCTACCACTACCAACTGCTCTGAAAAGGATCACATTGAGTGGAGTGGACTGTGTGGAGCAGAACTCAAAATCATGAAGAAGACCAGGCTTTATTGGTCAAGACTGACGGGACCTCAAAGACTGGCTTTTTCTGGTCTGGAACTGAACTTTAATCATCAATCATGTGAGACCAAACCAAAACCAAACTTGCTACCATGAGGTCGATTCTGACTCTTAGCAACTTTGTAGGACAGGACAGAACTGCTCCTGTGGGTTTCTGATGGTGACTCTTGGTGGTTCAGAACTGCTGACCTTGAGGTTAGCAGCCCAATGCATAACCACTGTGCCACCAGGGTTCCCTTTGAGATCCAAAGGGCAGCCTTCACCCAAAGGACAAAGGTCGGAGGGTTTGGAAAGTCAGAGGAATGGAAACAGGAACACAACGAAGTGGGATAAGCGGTCGAGGGGGTTTGCAACGGACAAAACAAAATGTGCGTGAGCTGCTGAATGTAACACTGATCTGTAAGCCTTTACCCACTTCACAATGAAAGTAAAAAGATGGAACCATCTCAGAGATCGTCCCAAGCAGTTCTATTCCGCCCTCTAGGGTCTCTATCATCTGAATTGGGTGGGTCTGCCCGTGTTGTAGAGACAAGAGTGAAGGTAAGTATGGTGGTCTCCCTGCCCTTCTAAGCCCTTACAAGGTCGCGCTATTAAGTCGGGATGAGGCAGTGAGCCCACCCTTATAAACAAAGCTGTGGGAAGGATAGGTAGCTAACCTGCATGGTCCCTAACTGAATCTACCCCGAGGCACCTTGGAAGGTAAAGCCTGGCCATTTCACTAAGAAACAAAAATCATTGTGGAGCACAGTTCTCTGACACATAAGGGGTTGCCATGCCTCGTGCCTAAGGATGGCTGATATGATGGCCCTGTTTCCAGATAAGAATACATCATAAAAAGCCCAAGGACTTTATCTTAAAGGGGGTGGGACCCCTAAGACTAGCTTTTTAGATAAAGTCAGCCTGCCCTTTTATGACTTATTCTTATCTGCACATGAGACTGCACACCCACCCCAAAGGGTTGTCAGTGGACTAGAGGCCACATGTGATCACTTCCTGCAGAGAATAATTTAACCCTAAAATAACATTTAAAATGTAGACGTCAATGTGATTCAAGTTGAGCCCGTGTGCCAAGTCTTTATGCCCCACCCACAGGTCCTGGCTATTGCCCATTTTTACAGAGGAGGAAACTGGGCTTGGATAGTCCTGCTTACCTGGAGTCACACCCCCTTGCTCCCCTCCCCCAGTGATGGGGATCTGGACCTCGGTCTCATTCCTCCGGGCTGCCCTCCTGACCGCAGGCTGAAGGTCTGCTCCTTGTTATACAGCTGAGACCCTGGTTCTGGCAGCACCTTCCCCACTTCAAGGCCATGCCCTGGGGGTCACAGCTGTGACTGGGGAGGCAAAGGTGCTGCTTTCACAGGCGGGCTTGGCCCAGGGAGCTCTCCCCACCCTGGGAAGGCCACGCAGACTGCAGCTGTGAGCTTCCTCACCACCCTCTGCTGTTCTTGACCTTGGGCCAGGCTGCCTGCCCTTTTAGCTCCCAGTCCCCTCCCCTCCCACGAATCTCCCAGTCCCACGCCTCCCAAGAAAGACCTCTCCACATCCCCAGCTGTGAGGGACTCCAGGGAGGACCAGGAACCCAGCTAGAGGAGCGAGGTGGGAGGCCTTGGCTAGGTTTTGGGGGACAGCATGTTCCCATCAGTGAACTAGTCACGGGAGTTTCCAGAGCAGCGAGGCCGTCAAAGCAGAACACCTGACACCCTGGGCCTGAGCTGGACCCACCACCCCTCCTTTCTGAAGTCTTCCACCCCCACCCCCCTACACACACCAGGCCAGCCCTGAGTCCCCCGCCCCCATGCAGCTGCTACAAGAGTATTTATAACTTGAGCGTGCGGGGCAAGGACACGAGCTTTATTTCGGAAGTGATAATTCCATTTCCAGGTGGGTGAAACCAGGAGAACCTAGCGGCGCCTCCCCCACTCCACCTTCACGGCCAGGGCGACCTAGACAGCCCTGCGCCCACCCAGCCCACCTAGGAATGGCCCCTCCTCACCCAACCCCAAGTGTCTGTCGGGGCGAAAGCGGTGGGGGCTGTTATCTCTGAGTCCTCCGACTGGGGCCGCGCACATCGTTAACCCTCTGTGCACCCACCCCTCTCACTGGGCGGGTGGAACAGCCCACTTGGTCGAGGAGGGAGGAGTGCGGTGTGCCACTGGCCTCTAGTGGTCCACGCCGGTAGCGCAGGGCTTCCCTGGGTGGAATGGTGCCCCCAAAGCCTCAGAAATTGCCTCCCTTCGCCTTCTGGCTTCTTCCCCTGGGGCTCGAGGGTTGCACTTGCTGTAGTAGCTGTTTTCCCCCAAGACCCTTGGGACCTGGGGGTGGAGAGGGCGGTGGGGGGTGTTGGGAGGGATGGCTTTGCTTCGCGCTGCATCTTGTCCACCTTCGCGTCGCCGCCGGCACAGGGACAGGCACGCGGTGGTCCACGTCTGTTCCACCAGTCTGCCCATCAACTATGTATCGTGCACCCGCGCGGGCAGGGAGACGATAACAAGTGCCAGCCGCCCCCGCGCCCACAGGTCAGTCCCGGGCCCTGAGCGTGTGAGCAGGCAGCGAGCACAGGGCCGGGACTGCAGGGAGGCTGAGCAGCCGGGATGGGGCTCACCCCTTCTGGGGACGGGGAAGGGTAGGGAGGCGAGGGGCTGGGGAGGAGGAGGAGGAGGAAGACGAGCGCAGAAAGCGGCACGGCAGGCACAGGGATGGACGCTGCATCTGTCCCACGCGGGCCGCGCGGCGGCTGCTCCGCGGCGCTGGTGGTGATTGGCTGACCGGGATCTGACGCAAAGCCAATTAGCTGCCTTGATTGGCTCTCGGGTCTCCCGGGCCCGGCTCGGGTGGCCACTTGTGGGTGCTAGGGCTTTTCCAGGCTGCGATATTTCTTGCGCAGGACGGAAACCGGGTCCTTGAAGAGCACCGGGTCCAGGCGGAGGCGAGAGGACACCAGGGGCATGTGGCCGAACCCTGCCGCCATCAAATTGACGCAGTCTGGGTCAGGGGGCTGCAGCTCGGGCCGGGGATCCCCAGAAGCCTAAGAGAGAGAAGAGAAATGCATTCGGGTTTTCTTGTTCTTCTGTACCCCCTCCCTGCCCTGCCCCCGGCCAACCCCTTCTCCTCACCGGGGGAGCTCTCGTCCCATAGGGCACCTTGATAGGGGGCAGCTTGGTTACTGCTGCCACCAGGAAGTTCAGCAGGACGTCCACACAGCCGGGCGCCCCGTCGGCCAGCGTCCTGAGAGCTCTGGGCAGGGAGTGGGTGAAGAGAGTGTGGTAGTACCTGTGCCAGGGAAGAGGAGAGCAGCGGAGCTCATCTCCGTGCCAAGATCGGCCCCCTCCTCCCTCCTCCTGACCTCAGCCCCGCCCTTTGACTCAATCCCCACCCCTATGCCTGGTTGCTGGCTTATGGGTCACCAATGATGTGCGTTCTGGTCCCTCCTGCACTGGGGTGTCCACACTGGGGGCTAAGGCTTAGCTGGCCCCGAGTCATCAGTCAAAGCAAGTGACACCCGTTTCAGGAAGGCTGTGGACTAAGCAGGGAACTGCACAGGCTGGGAGGGTGGGAAAGCCCCCGGCAAATCTCTACCAGGCTCCAAGTCTTCCTGCCCCCATTGTTTTAGACATGAATAAAAAGCCCCTCCAGAATTCAGTCCCTGGTCCACAGTTAAGGAGCTACAGCCAGTGCTTGGGAGGCTTGGGACAACACCCCCCACCCCACCCCTCACACACGGAACAGAGCAGCAGGACAGATCTCTTAACACTCCTACAGCTGCGGCATCCGCTAGTCTCTGACCCACGCTCTGCTCTGCTCGGTTCAAAAGACAACTCTAGTGACTGTTTTGTGGTGCCCCTGTGTGACAAGGGCTTTCGTGCTTTAGCACACCAGCCACGTGAGGCGGCCCTGTGTCATTATACGGGTGAGAAAATTGGCTCATGAGAGGTAAGAAGGCATGTCCCCCGAGCCACACTACTGGAAGTGGCAGAGCTGGGCCTTCCACCTGGCTGCCTGCTATGTCCACTCCCATGCCACCCTGCTCCCAGCACGGGGAGGGGTCTCCAGCCCTCTGACCCTGTGCAGGGCACGCACAGGCTGTACCTATGGTAGAAGGCGGCTGAGGTGAGAACCATGGAGAACTCGTTGGCCTTCTCAGCAGTGTAGCCCCAGCCACCCCGGGCCGAGTCCCAGAAGTGGCTCATGGTCAGAAAGCCCACCATCCGCTCCGGGAAATTCTGCCACACCACAAAGGCAAAATCCACCTAGGGAGGATATTCCAATCCTTTAGGAGGTGTGAGGAAGGACTTCCCATCCCACTGGGAGCGTCTAGCGAGAGGGAGGCAAGCCCAACCCGGCCAAGGAGCTGGAATGGCTAGAAGCATCCTGTGGAAGCTTTGGGGGTGGGGGACAGCTTGGGGGAGCATTTCCAGCTGGGAGCCCCTCAAACAGTTTCCAAAGGCATGTGTAGGAGCCTCTGCTGGATGTCTACTGGGGGCACTGATTGCCCGGGGTCATTGTGAAGGCAGAGGGTTGGGCTCTCTGGATGACAAGGACCTGCTGTCACTGTCCCCACCACACCAGGCTCCTCTTGGGCCCAGCCGCACCTCACTTGTGGAAAGACTACAGTGGGCGTCGAGGCTGAGGATGGCATCCGTGTTGATGGTGCTGTGTGGGAAGAAGCGATCACTGGCCTGCAGTGGGAGGGCGGAGACCACCACTCAGCCAGGGCCCCCTCCCGGCTGCCCAGCCAATATCTGAATACCCACGTCCACCCTGGCTTTCCAAAGTCACCCCCTTCCCTGCAGCCCTGGTCAGATTGCTGCCATCCTTCCACATTTCCTCAAGCCCCAGGGTTGTCCCCCTCTTCATCCGAGGTACCGACACCTTCCCCCCGGTCCCCATGTCATTTTTTTCCAAAGGGGGCAGTGGTTAAAGCAATGAGGCCTGCATTCGAAACTTCAGACCCAGTGCCAAGTCTGGCTTTGGCTCAGACCCAAACAACTGAACCCACGTGTGCCCGCCACAGTTCCTTCCCAGCAAGCAGCGGTGGAGCCCACCCCTCTACATCCTGACCAGCCCTCACCTTCCTGTGCCCCTCCATGACTGTCAAGGGGACGGCCGTCTCGGGCCACTTGCCCCTGGGTGGGGGTGGCCTCTCACTGCTCCAGAGAATCAAAACCTAGACAGGACGAAGGGTGGTCCTGGGGGCTGGGGGCGGGGAGGCAGCTCCGGTGGAGGAAGTATGGGGGGACAGGGCATACACGCATCCTGAGGCTGAACCCAAGGCCCCTTTATCATTGCTCTGCCCCTGCCACGCGCTTCTGCCGCTTAGCAATCCCTGTGATGTGAAGGAGCCGCCTGTGCTGGCTTAGTGGTTGAAGCGCTTGCCTGGGGCCTGCTCCATCTGCACCCTGGCCGGCCGGCCTCCTCTGCAGTGCTCTCTACCTAGCTGCCCACTGAGGACGTGAGACCTGACATCCGTGTGCTGAATCGGAAACCCGGTCGAATTCTTTGGTACTCAGAACACGGCTGCTGAGTGAGCGAGCGAGCGAGCGGCTGGCTTCCCCTGCCTCCTCGGGCTTTCCAGGTATGGCCACCTCAATTTCCACTTGGGGGAGAGGAGAAGAGACTTGGGGCTTAAGAAGAGGGAAGAAAAGGCACTCGAAGCTCTCCCCACCCCCCGCCCAAATGGGTGGTCCTTCATGGAGGGCTGAATGTTGACAGAGGCCCTTCCCTGACCCTCGCTCCCACCCTGGACCCCAAGCTGGCAGAGGCGCAGACCTGGGCGCAGTGCTGGGAGCCTGCCACCGCCTGGATGAGCTTCAGGGGGAGCTGGGCGGAGGCCCCCACCTGGATCAGGGCACTGAACCCGCCCATGGGTCGGGAGCCTGCGGAGAATGACATACAGGCCATCAGGAGGGGGCAGGATCCCATGGAGGGTGACCTGCATGGGAGACTGGGTCAGGAGAAATGTTGTGGGCTCAGAGGGATCTTGGCGGGGCTGGATGGATGAGACGGGGCAAGCATGGGGAGTGCGGATTCGGGATTCGGGATTTAACTCTCTTCCCCAGGGCATACCCTGCTGCAGGTGGTAGAAGGGGTAATCCTGGGGGCTTGTGGAAAATGTCGGCAGGGCCAGGAGTGCCCCTGGGGGGTTGTTCCACATCAGGGAGGGATGGGCAGACACTCCAGAGATCCGGTCCTGAATGATCTGAAAGGACAGAGGGGCTGTGCAGAGGGGGTGGCCACAGTCTCAGACCCTGTGGACGGAGTCTTAGGAAGTGAGGTAGGGCATAGTCCCACACTGCCCCCTTCTGGCTCCGAAGAGGGCAGTGGCAGCAGCAGCAGATCCCTGGGCTCAGGGGGTCCCATGCAGATGGCCAGCAGAGGGCACTCAACGATGGTGTCCCAGAGGGGGCAGGCAGCATTGCTGCTTCCCTTTGCCTCACCCAGGAAAGGCGCTGCCAGCAGGTCATGCCATCTGACCACGCTCATCATCCCTCCCTACATCGGGGCCAGGGGGCGTGGCCCCTCCTGTGGAGTTGGCCCCTGGTGGAAGCCCCTTTGCCACTGCACTCCCCTTGCAGGTGGAGAGACTGAAGCCCAGATTGGTGGAGGAACTAGTCCACCAGCGCTCTCACAGCCCAAATTCTGATCGGTTCCATAGGTACCTTCCAAAAGGAGACCCACGCCCACCCCCAGAAGATGGTATGGAGGGAGAGGGGTGGGCCGAGGAGGAAGCGATGGGGCATCTAGGGGCTCCCCTCACCTCCAGAGTAGTGTGGATGATCTTCTCCACTGAAGAGAAGTAGGCATCCCACAGGAACTGAGTCTGCTGACGCAGGGCCAGGACGCGGGCAGGTGGCATCTGCTGCAGGGCAGCCGCAACCTGGGCACAGAGGGAGAAGAGGAGGTGGCCAGAGTTTTGGTAGGCCCCGATTGACCCTGGGTGGGGGGGAGGGAGAGGAACCTAGGATCAAGACATGGGGATCAGAGCCCTTTCTCCAGGCCCCTCCACGTGGGCAGTGGTGACCACTGTGGCCACGCCCCAGGTAACCCAGGCAAGCAAGAGTTCTGTGGCCAAACCCAAGTCCATCGCCATGGGGTGGATCCCACCCCATGGACACCTACCGGAAGGAGCAGAACTGCCCCCCGGGGTTTTAGAGACTATCATTCCTGGAGCAGACTGCTTCTTTCTCCCCCCCAGAGCAATGGGTGGATTTGAACCACTGACCTTGTGGTTAGCAACCTAACCCTTAACCCAATGTGTCACCAGGGCTCCCTCAGTGGTCACTTGGACATATTAACTGCTACTTCGTGACGGCAGACAAGGTCCTTCACCTCTCCAAGGCTCCCTTTCTTCTCTAGCCCTGTACAGCAGGGCTAGAGACCCTCCCCTGATTGCGAGGGTTAAATGAGATACTGTGAGTTTTCTGGTTCAGAGCCGTGCCCGGCACACTGAGAGTCTCAGCAAATGGTAACGAGTGATCAAGCTCCCCCTTCACACTCAGTTCTCGGACACATGAGGCAGGTTGGCCTGTACGAGTCTCAGACCCAAGCAAGATTCCTCAGATGCAAACGTCACTGTCTATTTTGCTTTCCCACCCCAAGCTCCCTGGAGGCCTGCTCTCTGATTTGGGGTCTTCTGTAGGTGTCTCTGATACTGGGCCAACCAGTGAAGCTGGGCTTATGGAGACCAACCACCAAGCATCATGTGTCCCATTGTACAGATGGGAAAACTGAGGCTGAACGAAGACGGTCCGGACTTGCTGGGGCAGAGAAACCTCGACGCCCAACTTCCAGCCAGTGCTCACTCCCAGGATCCTTCAGGAGTCTGCCTCCAACTCATTCAAAGGGAGTCCCATGTGGGGGCTAATTTATCAATATACCTAGATGGGGGGTGGGAACAAGGACAGAGGCCAGCCTGGGCGCTGGGGTCCTGGAGCCCCTCCCTTGTCTGGGCCCAATCCCGAGCCCAATGAGCTACCTGTACCGGGAGCCTCTCATCAGCTACAATGGCTGCCTTGGTCCAATCGATGACCTCAGAGAAGGGCAGCTCCCAGCGGGGACTGAGAAGCACGGGGACACAGCCAGCCTGAAGGAGAAGGGGGTTGCTGAGGCACCCCGTCCCACCCCGCACCCTGTCACCACGTCTGGCCTCCAAGCCAGCAGCTACTGCTGAGGGGGGCAAGAGGCAAAAGGAGAGGAAGGTGGTGGTGGGTTTCGTGGGGTGGGTAAGGCAGTGGGCAGCTCAGGAGTGAGAGGCAACTGACTGGGGGAGGCCCAGGTTGGGGTTGTACCTGCAGGGCTTGGAGGAAACGGGAGGCGGCAGAGTGGTGGCTGGGGATGAGGCAGAAGGTGGCTCTGGGTAGTGTTGCCCTGCCGAGGGTCCTATGGAAATACACGAGGGTGTCCTGCATACCAGTGGCCTGAGAGAGCATCCCACCACCCCACCTCCGGGGTTGGCTCCCTCAGGGTCCCACAGCACCCACCTCCGTGTTCTCACATGACTTCACTCCCAGTCTCACACTCACACACTAACACAAACACTGGCCTCCTCTCTTGGGGAGGAGGAGGCAGGAGCCCTGGGTTCTAGCGCCAGCCTCAGCCCTCTTTCCTTTCCCTGGGCCTCAGCTTCCTCATCTGCAAAATGGATACGGTGGGCCCCGATGTTCCCAAGGCCTGATTAGCAGAGGCGCCTCTATGGAAAACTCGTGCTAGGGACGGGCATGGAAGTTGTGCCCATGTTGGAACATCTTTGAGACCAGTTCCCACTCCGGCTCCCAAATCAGAGACCAGTTGGCTAGTCTTTGGCTGATCACAGACGCGCCCCATGAAAAGGACCACTGTACCCCCTGCTCTGCCCGGTGGAGGGCCCTGTGCTCAGCTTCTTCCCTTTCTACCCTCAGCAGAGCAAGACCACCAAGGCCATACCCATAGCAACCCATGGAGCAAGCTAGACCTGCCCCGTCAGGATTCCAAGACCCTAAGTCTTTACAGAAGCACACAGCCTTGTCGGTCGCCTGGGAGTTGAGGTGGGGAGCAGGGTAGGCTGATGAGCTCCAACTGCCCATCTTTTGTCCACCTTCCACCAGTAGCCACCAGCTCTCCTCTGTGAGTCATACAAACAAAAACTAAACACTCGCCGCCATCGAGTGGATGCTGACTCACACACAGCGGCCCTATGGGACACGCCGTAGAACCGCCCCTGTGGGTTTCCGGGACTCTTTACAGGAGTAGAAAGCTCTGTCTTTCTCCCGAGGCAGCTGGTGGTTTCAGACTGCTGACCTTGCAGTTAGCAGCCCAGTGCGCGGACACCACTAGGCCATCCGGGGCTGCTCAGTGGGCAAGGGAGGCTCTCAGGTCCAAAGTATTCCTCGGAACTAGTAGTGATCGCTCCACAACCGGCCGGGCAGACTGCTCGGTGGCACCCCCTTCCAGCGGTGCCCAGGGTATATGTTATACCTGCCACCCATCCCTTAGCAACTCTGCTTGTTTGACTGGGCCATGCAGGTGGTTGCCCTCCGCCACTCTGCCACACACAGTCTCTGGGCACCCCTCACCTGAGTGGCCC